TACTGCACATGATATCTGTGTAAGAAAGGTCTTTCTGAATGGGCCCAAATTTACCCACGACTTATAGCAAACAACTGACAAGTAGAATTTTATAAAGCTAAAGTTTCTGCATAGCTAGACAAACAATCAACCAGGTGAAACCAAATGAAAAGAACACCCACAGAATGCCAGAGAATCTTTGCCAGCTGTACATTTGACAGAAGATTCAAAATCCAGAATATGTGTCTTTCTGCTTCTGAGATAGCTCACTCAGGATGATCATTTCCAGATCCCACCATTTACCTGCAAATTTCATGATTTTCTTGTTTTTTATTGCTGAGTAATATTCCATTGTGTAGATGTACCACAATTTCTGTATCCATTCCTCCACTGAGGGGCATCTGGGCTGTTTCCAGCTTCTGGCTATTACAAATAAGGCTGCTACAAACATGGTTGAGCAAATGGCTTTATTGTGTACTTGAGACTCTTTTGGGTATATGCCGAGGAGTGGTATAGCTGGATCTTGAGGAAGCGCTATTCCTAGTTCTCTGAGAAAGTGCCAGATTGCTTTCCAGAGTGGTTGTACCAGTTTACATTTCCACCAGCAGTGGAAGAGGGTTCCCCTTTCTCCACATTCTCTCCAGCATGTGTTGTCACTTGAGTTTTTTATCTTAGCCATTCTGATGGTGTAAGGTGAAATCTTAGGGTCATTTTAATTTGCATTTCCCTTATGACTAAGGACGCTGAACATTTCTTTAAGTGTTTCTCTGCCATTTGATATTCCTCTACTGAGAATTCTGTTTAGCTCTGTACTCCATTTTTTAATTGGATTACTTGATTTGTTGCTGTTTAATTTCTTGAGTTCTTTATATATAATGGATATTGGTCCTCTGTCAGGACTAATGGATATTAGTCCTCACTCATATAGACATATAATATAGGATAAACCTACTAAAATCTGTACACCTAAAGAAACTAATCAAAAGGGAGGACTCTTGCTAAAATGCTTAATTCCTATCCAGAAAGGCAAAGAGGCTGGACATCAGAAGAAGGAGAAAAGAGGGAACAAGTCAGGAGCCTGACACAGAGGGCCTCTGAAAATCTCTGCCCTGCAGACTATCAATGCAAATGCTGAGACTTATGGGCAACCTTCGGGCAGAGTGCAGGGAATCTTAGGAAAGAAGTGGGAAACAGTAAGATTTGGAGAGGACAGGAACTCCACAAGGAGATCAACAGAACCAAAAAATCTGAGCACAGGGGTCTTTCCTGAGACTGATACTCCAACCAAGGACTATGCATGGAGATAACCTAGGACCCCTGCACAGATGTAGCCCATGGCAGTTCAGTATCCAAGTGGGTTCCATTGTAATAGGAACAGGGACTGTCTCTGACATGAACTGATTGGCCTGCTCTTTAATTACCTCCCCCTGACGGGGGAAGCAGCATTACCAGGCCACAGAAGAAGATAATGCAGCCATTCCTGATGAGACCTAATTGACTAGGATCAGAAGGAAGGAAAAGAAGTCATCCCCTATCAGTGGACTTGGGGAGGGGCATGCATGCAGAGGGTGGAGGAAGGGAGGGATTGGGACGGAAGAGGGATTGGGAACCACAGGGGGGACACAAAGTGAATATAGTGTAATTAATAAAGAATTTTTTTTAAAAATCTAGAATATGTAAAGACTCGAGAAACAATGGGTCAAAATAACAAATGACTAATTCAAAAATGTAGGCCTGGGACCTATACCTTATGAAACAAAAAAGAACTAGCTAAGAAAACTCCCCCAAAATATCATCATACTTAGCTATAGAGAAATTCAAATTAAAACAATTTTGATAATTCATTTCACCTCAGTCAGAATGGTAAAGAAAAAATGGACAACAAAGAGTAGTGTCATCCTATTCAGTCCCCCTGGAGTCCTTAGGGAGTGGGGGTAGGGTGGTAGGAGGGGCTTCTCCAGGCAGACTGTTAGGTAAAGTAGGGCAGAAATAATAGTGAAACTCACCTGTGTCATATCCCAGTAATATTGATTCCCCACTATCAAAGAGAAGCCATTGTTACACAGTGATTCACACCCTATGTTGTGCACCGTTTCCACTGTGGGCATCGCGATTAACATGCATCACGGCTACAGTGCCCCCCACAGTAGAGTCACAGACTTAACTCACCCTGCGCTTTGGGGAACAGAGACCTTCTTTACTGACAACAGCGCTCAGTGTTTGAGGAGATTGGAAACTAGATATATTTCTAAGGTATTAGTTTCTTTTTTGAGATTTTTTTAATTTATTTTTAAATTAATTATAATTTATTCACTTTGTGTCCCAGCTGTAGCCCTCTCCCTCAGCCCCTTCCTCATCCCCTCCCAAACCAGCCCTCCCTCCCTCCCTCTTCTCCTCCCATGCCTCTTCCCCAGTACACTGATAGTGAAGGACTTCCTCCCCTTCCATCTGACCCTAGCCTATCAGATTTCATCAGGACTGTCTTTCATAGTCTTCCTCTATGGCCTGGTAAGGCTGTTCCCCCCTCAGGGGAAGGGGATCAAAAAGCCAGCCACAGAGTTCATTTCAGAGACAGCCCCTGTTCCCCTTACTAGATAGCCCATTTGGAGACTGAGCTGCCACGGACTACCACTGTAACAGGGGGTCTAGGTTATATCTTCATGAATGGCTCATGGTTGGAGTATTAGTCTCAGAAAAGACCCCTTGGCCCAGATTTTTTGGTTCTGTTGCTCTCCTTGTGGAGCTCCTGTCTTCTTCCAGTTTTTCTATCTTCCCCTTCTTTCACAAGATTCCTTGCACTCTGCCCAAAGTTTGGCTATGAGTCTCAGAATCTGCTTTTACACCCAGCTGGGTAGTCTTTCAGAAGCCCTCTGTGGTAGGCTCCTGCCCTGTTCCCTGTTTTCTCCTTCTTCTGGTGTCTATCCCGTTTAACTTTCTGCATGAGGATTGAGCATCTTAGCTTCTTTAGGTGTACAGATTTTAGTATGTTTATCCTATATTATATGTTTAATATTCACTTACAAGTGAGTATGTACATGTGTGTCTTTCTGCTTCTGGGATACCTCACTCAGGATGATCTTTTCTAGATCCCACCATTTACCTGCAAATTTCATGATTTCCTTGTTTCTAATTGCTGAGTAGTATTCCATTGTGTAAACATACCACAATTTCTGTATCCATTGGTATTACATTTCTTAATGACATTATTTTCTCAGATATGAATAATCAGTGAGTGAGCCAATGTTCTAAGATTAGAGTATATTGTGATAATATGTTGATTCAGTGATTCATGGTGGATAAAATACTATTACAGAAAGTCAAAGTTCAGATACAAACAAGAAATTTTTTTTATTTTTTTATTAATTACACTTTATTCATTTTGTATCCCCCCATAAGCCCCTCCCTCCTCCCCTCCCGATCCCACCCTCCCTCCCCTTTCTGCATGCATGCCTCTCCCCAAGTCCACTGATAGGGGAGGTTCTCCTCTTCTTTCTGATTTTAGTCTATCAGTTCTCATCAAAAGTGGCTGCATTGTCCTCTACTGTGGCCTGGTAAGGCTGCTCCCCCCTCAGGGGGAAGTGATCAACGAGCAGGCCAATCAGATTATGTCAGAGGCAGTCCCTCTTCCCATTAGTATGTAACCCACTTGGACATTGAACTACAATGGGCTACATCTGTGCAGGGGTTCCAGGTCATCTCCACGAATAGTCCTTGGTTGGAGTATGAGTCTCTTGGAAGTTCCCTGTGTTCAAATTGTCTTGTTCTGTTGCTCTCCTTGTGGAGTTCCCGTCCCCTCCAGCTCTTACTATTTCCCACTTCTTACATAAAATTCCATTCACTCTGCCCATCAGTTGGCCATCAGGCTCAGCATCTGCTTTGACAGTCTATACTGCAGAAGCTTTCAGAGGCCCTCTGTGGTAGGTTTCAAGGTTGTTTCCTGTTTTCTTCTGGCTTTCAGAGGCCCTCTGTAGCAGGTTCCGAGGTTGTTTCCTATTTTCTTTTTCTTCTGATGTCCATCCTGTTTGCCTTTCAGGATGGGGATTGAACATTTTAGTTAGGGTCCTCTCTTTTGCTTAGTTTGTTTAGATGTACAGATTTTAGTGGGTTTATTCTATATTGTTGTTTATATGAGTGAGTATATACCATGCGTGTCTTTTTGCTTCTGGAACAACTCACTCAGGATGATCCTTTCCAGGTCCCACCATTTACCTGCAAATTTCATGATTTCCTTATTTTTCATTGCTGAGTAATACTCCATTGTATAGATGTACCACAGTTTCTGCATCCATTCTTCAGTTGAGGGGCATCTGGGTACAAACAAGAAATTTGATTTCTGCACTAACATGAAGGTGATCATTTGGAAATCAATTCAGCAAAACCATTAGTTTTACCAGAAAGACACACAACTGTTTAGAACGGGGCACAAACTTAACATGCAGTCATACACACATCTGTAGAGAAAGAAGGTTCTAGGACGCATAGAGACCAGGAAACCAAAACTAGAATTGATATTCTCCAGTTCTACAGAGCATGGTGTCTGCTACTGTAACTTGGTCAGGCCTGGCACGGTTTTTTTTTTTTTTCCTTTTCCTTTTCATCTACCAAGGCATCATCTGGTGTAACATGTTTGTATCATCATAAATGGATTTCCCATAAGTAGTTTCTTGGTTCACATTTGTGGTCCAATTCACTAAGGAGTTGGTGTCTTGGGACTGTATATCCGTAGTCTTGGATGAAATCATACTGCCTGTTGCTGGAGAAAATCCTAAAAATATTTTTTAATATTTTTCGTTATGACTAAAACGGGGCCTCAGATTCAAAGCCTGTGGGAAGAAAGAGTTGGAGAATGTCACAGGGGAGTAAAGAGTCTTGTCAGAAAGAACTGGGAATGATTCAAAGGAAAACTTTAGTCACCAATAAACTTAAAAACAAACATGCACACACATGAGCCATGCATAAATGTGCTGGGTGCTGTACAGTTCGCTTTATCATGCTCACGGATGGGCAGATACTTTGTTACTATGCTATTCTCTTGGATGTTTATCCCTTTTTTTTTTCAGGTTCCAATTTTTATGTGCTCCTACAGCAGCAATGAGTGCTTAGTCAGAATAAATTACAGTTTATATGGTAAAGGAAATGTAGTGATTGCTGGATTTTTCCCTGCTTTTGCTGTCTACCCACTCGACAAAACAACTGATTGGAGGATGATTACATTTACCCAAGATGTTATGGTCGAGTAAGTCCTTTATCCATTTATTCCTATTCAAAATTTGACATTTATATGCCCTTGCAGAAGTACAGATCTAAAAGTCCTTATTCAAACTCTTTACCCCCTTAAGACATTTTCTCTCCTCTATTGCTAGATCTTTCTGTAGTTTTGTTTTCTTAGTAACTCATCTGGTACTTTCAAAGAACAAGAAGAATTTAGGGCTTTGTTTTCTTTTCCACAGTAGACACTGGAAATCTGCTCCCCCTCTCCCCTCATATTCCCTACCATGCCTGTAACTGCTCAAGGTTTGGGTGTTTTCAACATTAGAAAGTTGATAGAGTACTTGAGGGAATTCTAGAAGTCTAGCTGTGCTCCTGTAAAAAGGGATGATGCCACTGAGGTTACCGACCTGCAGTTTCCTTGTGTGAGGCTGGAGTGACAAATAAAGTCTATGTTTTCTGATGATGATTTGGGAACAGGAATGTCAGAGTTAGAAATTATGATCTACTCTCTGCTTTAGAAATACTTTCATCCATCTCAGATTGTTTTATCTGACTTTTAATATTTGAATTCTCAGATAACTTACCATGCTTATCTTTTGGTTCATTGTTATAAATGTGTTTCTGGGCCTACATTGATTGCTATAGGACCTCTGAAAGATGTTTCCAGGCATTCTCAATGATGTAAGATTAAAACATATTGTCAGAAAAGTCAGCTTGAGCTTCTCAGGTCCTGCTAAAGAGAAGCAATCATGCATGTCAGTGTTTAAAGGCAGTCAGATGTATTTTATCCCAGACACACATGCCCGTAGTTGTAGGTAACCATACAAGAAGTACCTAAAAATGAGAAGAGCAGCTTACTCGAAAGTCTGAACTAAAAAGGGAACACAGCAGTATGTATTCAGGAATTAGGCTGGAGACAATGTGTGGAAAATCACATAAAAGAAACAGAGGATGGGCACCTTTTAGTTTCTTCTCTTACTTTGTAAGGTCCGGAATATATGGTCAGCCTTTAGGAAAGGGACTTCTTTAGAGATGGGAGAAAGAAAACACTTTGTTTCTGTTACACAGTGACTGGCAAGTGAGCAATTCATGTATTTTGGCTGATTGTCCTTCTGATGTATAAAATATCCCCACGTCTAATGTGAAAACACATCATTTTTTTTCATGAATCACCACTGAGTTTATGACAAATACATGTTCATTTTAATCATCACTTATTTTCTTATGTATTTCATCCTTCAAATACATTTTTGCCAGTTAAAAATAGTATTCCATTTGCAACAGATAAATTAATTAATTAGTTAATTAATTAATTAATTAATTAATACAGTAAAATCCAGCAAACAGCTTTCTATTGGTTTAATTTAATAAAAATGTAAAGGAAAAAAGAAAGAAAGAAACAGAGGACTGAGAATGGATCACTGTCAGTGTGGATCACTGTATCTGCTGCAATGTGGCTGTGGAGAAAGTAACCAATTCAGCAGTGGTAGGGCAAAATGTTCAAGTTTAAATGTCATTTGACATTAAAGATATTATTATAAGTTTATTCTGAAATAGATACACAAAGAAAGCATAGTAAATTTAAAAACTGATATCTAGACAAGACATTCTGTGGAGAGTCTACTGGCCCCAGGGATCATTGCTTACTTCAAGTAGTATTACAAAGCTATATGGTCTACCAGCCGTTTGCAGCCTGCATGCTGAGAAGAAGACTGTTCTGCTTCACAGTGATGGTGTCCCTTTTCTCCTCTTCTCTGCTTTACACTCTCAACAGCTCAGGAACCACTGTGCATCAGCCTCAGTCCTTATTCAGCTTGCATAGCAGCCATGCCATGCCTGCAAAGATCACACTTGTAATTACATGAGCTCTCTGAAGCTGGCCTGTCTAATATGTAGGAGAATAGAGTGCTGTGTAGGTGTGATTTAACATCTTATGAAGTTAGAAATAAAGCTAAAATAAGCCTCCATTATAAAAGCAATAAGCAAATGTATCAAAGCAGATGCTGAGACTCATAACCAAACCTTGGGCAGAGGGCAGGGAAATCATATGGAAGAAGAGGGAGTTAGTAAGACCTGGACAGGAAGGGAGCGCCACAAGGACCAAATATATCTGGGCACAAGGTCTTTTCTGAAACTTACTCTTCAACCAAGGACCATGCATGGATATAACCTAGAACCCCTGCACAGATGTAGCCCATGGCAGCTCAGCATCCAAGGGGGTTTCCTTATTTAGGGAAACAGGGACTGTCTCTGACATGAAGTCAGTGGCAGGCTCTTTGACCTCCCCCTCAACTCCTGCGAGGGAGGAACAGCATTGCTAGACCCCAGAGGAGGACATTGCAGCCAGTCCTGATGAGACCTGATAGGCTAGGGTCAGATGGAAGGGGAGGAGAACCTCCCCTATCAGAAGATTTAGAGAGCGGCAGGGAGGAGATAAGGGAGGGAGAGTGGAATTGGGAGGGAATGAGAAAGGGGACTACAGCTGGGATACAAAGTAAATAACCTGTGATTAATATTAAAAATAAAAATTATTAAATAAATAAATCAAACCCTTTCAATAAATAAATAAAACCTATAAGCAATTAGCATGTTTGACTAAGACAATACATTTTCAAATTGTCCTTTCATAGAGAGTAGGGCACATGCAAGCATATACTCTTCAAGGCTCACAACTGCTTTCATACTTTTCATTAAATTTTTCACAGACATGTGAGAGACTTTATATGTAATTTGAAAGAGAAATTGTTCTGTCTTTATTCAAGTAAATTGCCTCATGTTCTAATTGTAGCTGTAAAAGTATATTTATCTTAATTACCTTAACTACAAAAGATCACAGTTGTGCAGTAAGCATCATTTTCTATGACACTGATTTTGTGTGGTCTAATTTTCTAACTGAATTTTACTTTCTTGTAAAAATTATGAAGATGGTAAGTGAATATTTGATAGATATACAAAGTGTGTCTACCATCTGATTAAAGTGGATTAATTCACAGGAGTACCCGAATGCACACCACAGTATCTGTTATGCATGGTGCTTAATTTCCTTGAAAAGCAATAAAGGCAGACAGTTTTTCTCACTGTGTATGGGAGTGCTTTTCCTTCACACTAACTTAAAAATATAGCTGCCTTAGCATGCCTAAGTTGCATTTTACCAGTCCTGTGTGTATGTGTATATTAATAACTTAAAATGATTCATGTATTGGAAGAATATGAACAGTCAGATTTCAAGGTTCTTTTTCTCTTTTTAGGAGGATACTCATCAATATGAGCAGTCAATTGTGTAATTTGATCTTAATCATCCTGACAGGTGTAAGGTGGAATCTCAAAGTAGTTTTGATTTTCATTGTCCTGATAGCTAAGGATGTTAAACATTTCTCCTTTTTTATTCATTTTATATCATTGCCATAGCACCCTCCCTCCTCTCTCTCAGTCCTCCCTCCCTGTTTCCCCTATACATCCTCCCCTACTTTTCAGAGAAGGGGAGAACTCCCCTTACCCAACCACCCCAGCATATCAAGTAGCATCTGGACTGAGCACATCCTCTTCCCCTGTGGTCTGGTGAGGAAGCCTTGCCAGGGGAAAATGATTGAAAAACAGGCAACACTGTTCATGTCAGAGTTAGCGCCCCCCATTCCCCTTACTAGGGAACCTATTTGAGGGCCTAGCTGCCCACTGGCTACATCTGTGTAGGGGGCCCAGGTCCAGTCCATGCATGGTCCTTGGTTGGTGCTTCAGTCTTCACCAGCCCCCATGTGCCCTGGCTAGTTGGCTTTGTGGTATTCTTGTGGAACCCTTGTCCCATCTGGGTCCTTCTACCCTTCTCCCCTCCCACTCTTCCACAAGACTTCTGCACTCTGCCCAATGTTTGGTTGTGGGTCTCTGCATCTGCTTAATCAGCTACTAGGAGGAGCCACTCAGAGGACAGCTATGTTGGACTCTCATCTGCAAGTACAGGAAAGTATGTTGAACATTTCTTTAAGCATTTCCTGGCAACTTGACTTTCCACTTTTGATCATTCTCTACTTAGCTCTGTACCCTGTGTTTTAATTGGATTATTTTGTTTGATGAAGTGTAGCTGATTGAGTTCTTTATATATTTTGGATATTAGCCCTCTAACAAATGAAGAGTTGATGAAAATCTTCCCGTTCTGGAAGCTGCTGTTTTGTCCTATTGACAGAGTCTATTCCCTTACAGAAGCTTTCCAATTTCATGAAGTCTCATTTATTAATTGTTAGTGTTAGTGCTGGTGCTAACAATCAGTGTTCTGCTCAAAAAGTTAACTCCTGTGCCAAAGCATTCAAGGGTACTTTCTCTTCTGTTGGGTTTAGTGTACTAGTATTATGTTAAAGTCTTTGATCCATCTGGACTTAAGTTTTCTGTGGAGTGATAGATATGGATCTATTTCCATTTTTCTACATGTAGACGTCCAGTTAGACCGTCACCATTTGTTGAAGATGCTTTTTTTTTTTCCATTTGGAAAAAAATTGGCTTTGGCTTCTTTGTCAAAAATCAAGTGTCTGTTGGAGTATGGGTTTATTTCTGGGTCTTCAATTTCAGTTTGATTCCATTGATCTACTTATGTGTTTTTATGCCAATACCATGCAGTTTTTATCACTATTATTTTGTAGTACTGTTTGAGATCAGGGATGGTGATAGTTCCAGTTCTTTTATTGAACACAATTGTTTTAGCTATCTTGAGGGTTTTTTTTTTTTTATAAATAAAATTGAGAATTGCTCTTTCCAGATCTGTAAAGAATTGTCTTGGAATTTTGATGGGAATAGCATTGAATCTATAGATTGCTTTTGCTAAGATGGCCATTTTTACTATGTTAATCCTACTGTTCCTTGAGCATTGGAGATTTTTTTCATCTTCTGATATCTTCTTCAATTTCTTTCTACAACTACTTAAAGTTCTTGTCATACAGTACATTCACTTGATTTGTTAGAGTTACAACAAAATATTTTATATTAATTGCATCTATTGTGAAAGGTGTCATTGCCCTAATTTTTTCAGCCTGTTTATCA